CTGCACACTCCATAAATCACGCAACGTGGTGGACAATGTTTCGAGCGAGGAGATCGGAAATGCAGAGAGAGAAAGCATTTAACAGCTTTTAAGACCAAACAGCCATAAATGATGGGTGCACTGTCTCTCTTTCCGCCGAATCAGCGAGTCCTTCGCGACACTCCCATCGCACCCCAGCAGGAAAAATGTGGCCCACCGTGGAAACGGGGGATAAATGGGGAATGGAAGAGAAGGAGGTGCGTGCAGGGTTTCGTTTCTGGCGGGTTTGCTACCACATTTCTTGCAGTGCAAAGTATGAACTGCAAGAAATGTGAGGTGCAAGAAACTGGGAGAAAGTGCAAGAAATATGCGCCATCCAGCCACGCGCCGTTTGAAGTATGGCGGCGGGGCGTCGTTTCTTGCGCCTTGCATTTCTTGCAGTTCAAAATATTTAGCTGCAAGAAACCACTTTCTCCCCGTTATTTCTTGCAGTTGCACCCGAAACCCTGGGTGCGTGGGTGTTGGGTGGGAGAGCAGTGGTCCTCGAATACTGCTCGTGGTGGTATCATTCTTAATTTAACGGGAGGACAGAGTTAGAGACGGCAAAATATTTTCAAGAGTGGGTCGAGTTGCTGACTTGACTTGGGAGACCCGAATAACCAACGACCCGGTTGGGTTAGAGAGAAAGAAAGAGAACTCTGTGGATTTGGACAGGGACAAAATTGTCCCTTGCTGCCCGGAAGCTGTTTTCCCATTAAATTGAACATTTTTCTCCGTCTCTCTCTTTCTCTGCCTCCTTTTCCAGCATCCGAGGAAGTCCAAGTCTATCATGGGCTGCACAAAAGTTCGAAAAAGGACTGCTGGTAAAATCACTCGTAAATATATCAATATTATTAATACCCTCACTATAGAGAAAGTATCTGATATTATTTTTTTATTGATTACAACTGAAAATTTTCGCAATCGGCACTTAACATAAACCAAATTTATAAAATCTCAAAATATTCCTGGAAAAATAGAAATATTTTCCAAGATTTTCCCTATTTACCCAACTTATTAGCCTTTTAACTGGATAATCATGGTTGAAATGGACGTAATAAATGTACCATATTTACCCATCTGCCTCCAACCTCGTCGCATTCATCTGATCCCTTGATGTCACTCTTGCGGATAAATTTTTTGAGCTAACAATGCAATATTTAACCAATGGATATGTTTTCGCCGGAGGGCTGCAGCTTGTTCGTGTAGTTTGCTCATATTTGAACCTTTATCTTTGTCTTTTTCCGCCGACGAGGACGACGACGTAAGAACGTAGCATTCAGTGGCGGCGGAAGTTGGGGGACATTAGTATTGTGGGATGGGACTTATTAACATGGGCAAGCTATGATTTTTGTTGGGGCAATGTCCTGTGCCCCCCTTGTTCCGCGGTCACTGGCAGAATTCCCAACTCGTCGTAACCCTTCTTGATATCGTCGGTGGTGCAGTAGTCGTGTCGACAATGTCGATGTCGACCTCTGCTCATCCTCCTGGCTAACCAACCAAGACCAAAAAACGACCCCGAGTGAAATGCTCGTAACGTAACGTAACGTGTATAAAACAAACCGCAAATGTTTGTTTGATGTTGTTTTTGGTTCGTGGTGAATTTATGAAACTTTTCCTTTTCATGGATGGCGGTTTGTTGTGATGATTCATGGCGTCGTGTTGGGTTGTTTGTAGTGATGATAAAAGTTGGCTCGTGGAGTGGATAAAGTGTGGAGATATTTCATGCATGCATTAATAAGCCTTTCATTTCGTACCGATCATCGCCCATCGTTATCATCTCATCATCAACAACAACACAAATACTTTTCTCTTTTACCAACTTGTGCATGAGCATATCAAAGGAAGGAAAGGATACATAAGCGAGGAATGAATGACGGGTTTTGTGTTCTTGATGCGGTTTTGTGTATTGTAAGCAGAGGGGGGATATGTATTTGCGAAAAATGGCTGAAATGTGTATTTAATATGAAAAAAATCCAAAATATTTGCGAAATATGTATGTACATAAGAACATGAAAAAATAAATTTTCACAAAATTTGCATTTTTCTAAAGTAATGCCCCGTGGTTAATATTTTTGGAGTAAAAACAAATTCAACTCAAATCGTGGAAATATTTTTTTTTATTATAATACGTATTTTTGAAAAAATATCTAAACATTTACGTATTTTCAAATAGTGACAGAAATGTTCATGAATATATTTATGTGTTTGAAAACCTAGAAATATGTAACAATATGAAAAAATACTTTGAAATTTTTGTGATCTATTTGAGTTAGGGAACATACCTACAAAGTTTGACTATCCGTCGTCATCAAATGAAAAACTTGAAAATAAATACATATCCGCCCTCTGATTATGCATGATAAATACATGATACCCGATTCCCCACCGGGCTTCACCAACATTTCTCAACTTTCCGGTCATTCCACAAGCTACATTTAAATCTCAAAAATATTTATGGGCTAACATCATCAAAGCATTTTCTTGATAAGTCAAAATCGGATGAAAACCTGCACCACACGGGAAACAAGTCCCGGGAGAAAGTACAACGCTTGATAAAATCCTTCGCTGAATCAGATACGATTATTATTTATTATCCGTGATAATAATGACGTAGTTTTACATGCTCACTAATAAATAAATTTCTCCACGTTTCCTTCCGTCGGATTGCATATTTACATATTATTATTATCGATCCGCGGATTAACGGGACATAATGTTTAAGTCATTATGCATTAAGACACATCATAATTTATCAGATTTTGCCTCAGATTTGCATGCCTGATTAAACAATTGTGCAAAATAGGGCGAATGGTAGAAGTAGAAGTGTTGTTGTAAATAAAGGCGGTGTAGAAGAAGCTGGTATTAATAAATTTGACGCACAGATCGAAACGAAAGATTGATTTACAGCATGTTGCTCGTAAATTCATCTTGCGTGTAAGTACATAAACATTGTGTGTGCTCAGTGGCCGTGGAAGCCGTGGGGACATTAACATTGTAGGATAGGGGAGGCAGGGGTTTATGTAACATGGACAGATGATGGGGACATCGAATACCCGTGGGGACATTGTCCCCCTGTCCCACGCTTCCGCGGACATTGTTTGTACTTCTATATATAGGTCGAAAATGTAGGGAAAGCTCAATAAAATAGTGGTACACAAGTATTAAAGCGAGGCCGGAGAAAGTCGGGTTTATTGTGTCGCGTGACAATTCACAATCAAAGATTGCATGTAAATTCCGCTCGATCCAACGTCTTCCTTCCAAGTCGGAGAGACCAGGGCTTAATAAGTTTATTGTTTGTCGGGGTGGTGGATTGGACGGAGGCATTTGTAGGTTATCAGAATTAATGGCTTAACCCGTGTCAGACAAGCATTTTGGCAGATAGGCGGCTGCATTTCGGGACAAAATTGCTACATAAGTCTGTATTTGTACATATACACTCTTAGAAAACTGGTGTTAAATCATAACTGACCAGAGTACATATATAAATACAATCTAAATAACTTGTGGCAAACTCATCTAATAATATGAAATATACATAATTTACCTCAAAATCGTATATTTGGCTTCAAACTTTGCCTAAAAATGTACGCAGCTTAATACTTAATTCTCATAACTTGGTAAAAAGTTATTTTATATGTTTAGTTTTTTGAAATTTTTTGGGTTTTATGTTATTAAAGTTAAAAGTTTATGTAGTTATCGTCATATATTGTCATCCATTTATTGAGACACTCGGGCATTACCGTTTAACAATGTTGTGATAATGGAAAATTTACCACTCTGAAACAAACTATTTACTACCAATCCGGTAGCAAGGTATTACCAAACCAATACCAGTCCGGAGTAAATCTGACTCTACCAGATTTTTAACATTTATGCCTCTGGAGAAAATTGTGCACATACGTTTGCTTAAACGTCCACCTCCCTTTTTTCGCACCTGTCGTTTCTTCTCTCTCCTCAAAGCGGAAACCCAATCTGTTCCTCGTCTCCTCGTAAGCTTCAATTTGGCGAGATTTTTTTTCCTCTCTCTATTTCCTCCATGAGTAAAATGTGACACATGTAAATTTTTACTTTGATGTAAACACAATCACACGCACCTTTCTTCTTCTCCCCTCTCGTCCCATTCTTGCCTTGAAGAAGAAAGTGCGAGAACAACTTAACTTTGCACCACCTAGGCGACGACCCGGGCTAAAAAAAGTGCTCATGTGTCCCTCGGGACAGCTTCACTACTCACTCAATTCAAGCTAAGCAAGTTTGAGAAAGCTTTCTACAACAGTAAACTTAAAGTACAAGCACTTTACATGACGGCTTCGGTCGGTGGTGGCAAGGAGCACCGATTTACTTACACTTTTCCCTTCTTAAATTCACACTTGCTCTCACTCACACAATCGACACGAGTCAAAAGGTTCGAGTTAAAAAAAGTTTTTTCTCAAGCAAATCGCAATATTTGAGTTTTGACTTGTGAAAACATTTCAATTTTTCCGGAGAGAAAAATGCAAAAGATTTCTCTGAAAAGTTTCCTCCTGAACAAAGGAGTCGACGAGGAGGAGAAAGTCTATTTCGGTACAGGGACCGCGGAAACAGGAGGACATTGTCCCACGAGAAATTCAGCAAAATTGTATCTTGCCCATGTTAATAAGTTCCTATCCCCACAATGTTAATGTCCCCCAACTTCCGCGGCCACTGTGTCCACATTCCGTGCATATGTATGTAGGAAGGAAGCAGTGACTTGTAAACTGAACGAATCTGAAGAATCGTAAAAGAAATGTGAAATGTGTTACGGCATGAAAAAGTTTTTGAGAACTTGTCGCCTTACACGATATGAGTAAACAGTCCTGATTTTCATGTATGTATTCACTTTGAATTATTATGCAATCTCCTTGAAGAAGAATGCAATTTTGTTTGTTTTTCGAATAAAATAGATTACAAAAATGCCGACAAAATTATTATGTAAATCTGACGACGTTTCTTTTTTATTTCAGATTTCTCTGATGATCCACCCATAATTGAGAACCTGTTGAAGTAAACAATTTTTTTCAAAATGAGGGACATGTATCACTGCCAATTTCGCGTCGCGATTCTTTGCGCGCTCTCAATCAGTGGAGTGGTCATGGTGTCCGCCATGTATTCGGAAGATGGTAAGACAATGGTTTTGATTTGTGAAATTTTAGATATTATTAGGTTTTGTAATTTTATTGAACACGAATTTTGAAATTGGTTGAAAATCACGTACATGAAGAAAATAGCTTAGAAGAAAAATATCTTGCGATATAAAACATATCAAATTTATCTCAAAATCGTTAATTTGGCTTCAAACTTTGCCTAAAATTCTGTGCAATTTTAATAATTATGAGTTTGGGAAAAAATGTACTTTATATTTTTGGGCAAATTTTGAATTTTTTTTGGGTTTAAGTTACACACCAATTTTGAAAATGCATACATAGCTCCTAAAATTTCCAGAACTAAATATTTTGGTGTTAAGTGCAAAATCTGGTGCGATGTAAAACTTATAAAATTAATCTAAAAATAATTCATCTGGCTTCAAACTTTCACTAAAATTTTGCCCGATTTTACATTTTTTTACAATTTAAATTATGTGTACAACACGAATACAGTGGACGGTGGAAAGCCAGTCCAATCGTCTGAGTAGCATTGTCTCATCGAACTACATGCATAACGTAACGTAACGTAACTATCAAACCTAATATTAACTCGGTCCAAACAAAGGAAACTTGAGATAAATGTATAGCGAATGAAAGCAGCTCTTCTATAACACGTCCCATCCCCAAACTTACCATACTATGCATTCACAACCCGCCGATGTTGATGCCAACAAACAAAATGGGAGAACAAAACTTGGAGAACAAGAGGGTAGTCGTGGTCGCTGGCAGTGTTTCGTTTCTTGCGGTTTGCTAAATACATTTCTTGCACAGGAGCAAGAAATGCAGGAAATGCGAGGTGCAAGAAACTGGGAGAAAGTGCAAGAAATATGCGCCATCAAGCCACGCGCGTGGCGTAGTTTCTTGTGCCTTGCATTTCGTGCAGGTCAAAATACCCCCAAGAAACCACTTTCTTCCCGTTATTTCTCGCAAGTGGTTGGTTACTTTCCAGCCGAAACACTGGGTCGTGTTCTCGTCGTGGCGGCGGTGAGGAGGACAACAACGCGAATGAACAATGGGTCGAAGTGGAACAAATAGCTGTGGTTTGGCTCTTTGAATTCTGAGAGAGTTAGCACAGAAATCCTCACCAATATGCTTTTCCTTTCCGTAGTGGACTCCAATTTCCTGTGCGCTCTCTCGGAAGTAATATTGAATACGGCGCGGGATGGGATCGGTCGGTGGGTCGAAAAGTGAGGGAGAAGAAGTCGTGGAATGGAATAGTTTCAAATAAAACAATCCAAATCCACTAAGCCATTCGGGTCGGGGTAGCATTTGGAGAAATAATTCAGTAGTGAGGAGATAAGTTGGCGAAGAGGAGAGGAGAAGAAGAACGGCGGTGGTGGTGGTAGGTACTTCACCTTCTTCGCACTGCATACTTCATTCATTGGTTTGTTTGTTGCTCAGAAAGACCAACCAACCACCGCACAAATAAATGAGCGAGTTGAGCAAGTTTTCCCCACAATGATCACTTTCTCCATTGACTTTCACCACGCTCATTTCGCTCACCGCTATTATTCAGAGACAGACACCGTGGTGGTGATGATGATGATCGTTACTTTAGCCTTCGTTAAGAGAAAGTGGCTGAATAGAGAGGAGTGCCAAATAGGATTGTTGCTGGTGGGTCTTGCTCGAGGGCTGCATTTTCGGATTTGGCTGGAAAATGGATACAATTCAGATTCATTGGGGGTATTCATTACGAGTTTGAATGTTTGTATCGCCACATAGTTTAGAGAAAAAAATTGCGAACTAAATCCGGAGATGGGCAAATTCGCAAAATGAATTTTGAAGCCAAATTTTTTCGCGAAACTTCTTGGCTAACGTAGCTAACGATGCGACTCGTAATGAATACCATCGTTGTTTCGATATCGCAAAAAACAGAGAAAGTTCATGGTTAGAAACGTGCCATTATTTCCATGAGGAAGGAATCAATGAAATATTAACCCATTCGACCTTCAATTTATTTATTGTTATTAATGTGGCTTATCATGCCATAAAATGTGTCCTTGTATGCATCATAAATACCAGACCAGAACTACTACCCTCGTCAAAAAGTAGTTCAACCATCCATCTATTTATCTACTTATGCTAAATGTATCGAGTCCAAGTAAATATATTTATACACTTCTTTCCCCAAACCATAACCCACAGTCTCGCCCTCGTTAAGCTTTCTTTCTCTCTACTGCGACACATATGGCTTAACCCTCAGATCACAATCCAACAAATTCCGTTTTCGATTATAAGGATCGGAAATTTCTGGAGCGGAAATATTTCTCAAGATTCACCAACCAACCGACCAACCAACCAACCCACCAACCGAGCTGTCACACAACAATCCACCATAAGAAAGTACATACATACAAAACTTGGGACTTTTGCACATGAAAAAAAACTAGCAAGCAAACGAAACTAAAAACTCTCTTCGTCTTGACAAACAACAAAACTTTGTTGGTCGTGAGACCCAGCCAGCCAGCCAGCCAGTGGGACTTATTGATTGTGTGAACTATGCTGGATTAATGTGATTATTTGCAAGTAGTAGTCACGGAGAGAAAGCAGCAGCCATCGATCCAGTCACACACGATCCGATTTATTTGCACAGCATATTAAACCTGTCTCCTTTTCTCACACGGGGAAGAAGAAAAATATGGAACAAATGATGTCCTCCTTGTCGGCGTGACGTGACATAAATTAATTTCGGCGTAACATTATTTTTTTCAAGTGTCGAAAAAAACTTGGGCTTAATAATCATATTATGAGAGGAGAGGAGAAAGTAAGTAGTTTTTCTTCTTCCCGGCAATAATAATGTCATCCCATTTGGACCGGACTCAAGGAGTGAAATCTATCGAAATCAAATCAGATCATGAGCTAGCGAACGGACCGGATCGAGGCAATATAATCCTGTTAAAAGGTTAAAAGTCTCAGAATTGGCAAAAACTCAAGGACTTTGAGTTGAACACCAAGTCCAGTGCGTGTATGTCTATGTATGGGTACCCGATCAAATTAAGGGGAACGGTTACATAACGCCATTCAATTCGCCATGCTGCCAATATCGACGACGACGGACGGACTCGTTGTCATCGCTGGCAATCATGTCTGAGAAGAAAAGCTGGTCATGTTTCCGAAGTACTTTCTTTTTGTAGGATGTGGAAAAATGTCAAGTGCTGGGCCTTGCTCGGGTGGTAACAGGTTCTCCGTAATTTGGTTTAGATTTGAGTTGATAGCAGTTAAAGAATTGGTGAAAGCGGGAGGATTTTTGAGAACACAGCTTTCTTCTCTTTGCCTTGTCTCGGTTTACTTTTGGTGGCAATAAAATACGGTGAAGAGCAAGGAAAGGAACGGTTTTTTCTTCTTCCGAAGTCTCTCAGATTTTAGTTAGCGATTGTCCGAAAGTGAGTTGTGAGAGGAAGTCGAGGCAAAAATGACTTTGTCCCAGAATGCCTATGAATGTAATAGGATTGCTATCAAGTGTCAGTCCGGAGAGGATTCTCACACTTTTTTTGCTACTCACTGTGCGAGCGGAGAGAGGAGAGGATAAGGTGGAAAGTGGATGTCCCCACTGACCGGAAGCTCTCTTCTTGAGGAGGAGAAAGTGACGTGGGATTTTGGGATGTGTAAGTAATAAGGATAAAATACATGGACGAAATGAGGCGACGTATCATCAGATATTTCACATCAATATGATGACCGAAATGTCACGGTACGATAAAGCGGGGAAAGTCTGGAATCTTTTAATTTCATCAGTATTTATAAATTCTTTCATAATTTACAAGAATTGTTGGACATACTACTCCGCACTGGTATTGATTTGGTAATAATCTCTTACCGGATTGGTAATATGAGTAGTTTGTTTTTGAATGGTAAATTTTTCAGTAACCTGAAATTACTAAACAGTAATACCGGTAGGGTCATATATGAACTCCGGTCAGTAATGATTTAACACCACTTTTCTAAGAGTGTATACCGTCCCCATGATCACATTACTTACACGACTACCGCTCTGCTCTCCAGATCAATACCAAGTTATCGAAAGACCGTATCAAATTATTTATTTAAACGATTCCTTGCCGCCTTCGCCGCCGCCCTTCATGCACATTCATTCGCATTCGCATTCATTTGGGGGAAGTTTACGTAATTAAAACTATTACCTCGTCCCTAACCCCGTGGGATTTAACCGCACTCGTCTCTCGTTGACAGCGAGACGCCGTGTACGACCTGTCTCTCGCGATGTTTGTGCTGTGCAGTGACACGCCATGTCCAAATATTGCATCGCATTGCATTGCATCACACAGGAATCCAGCATATTTAAAGACAACTCTCCACCGCTTTTGGGTCGAAGAAATCCAACCCCGCAGAATTAATGAGGTAACGTAAACTGGAATTAGCGCACAAACAAGGCAAGGCAGCAAATGTGAAGCCATCGGGTGTGCTGTCACGTCACGGGGAGGGATACCGCAGCAGCAGCAGCAGGGAAGAAAAGTTGGGGTTCATGTTTCCTTCCTTAATTTACGACGGGACAACTTTCAGGGAAGAAAGTGCGGTTTTGTTTTCAAGTTTTGAATTACGCGAGAGTGTAATTAGCGAATTAAAATTTCACTCGGGGAGAATTATGTCCAGGGGAGAAAGCGAGGGAGTGAGTGAGTGAGTAACTTATTATATTTGGAGGCAGTTGGTTGGTGGTGGTGGGCGTCATATTGCTGGGTCGGTTTCGTATGAAGGTGGTATGATGGCCAACGGGTTCATTTAATTGTATGAGTTTTATGTATAATCTCCAAAACGTCACGTCAAGATGGGTCCATCTCAGATTTAATATGGCGTACATACATAACTTTCACTCGCATGTCCATTTATTACCCGTTGACACTTGTACGTACAACTTCTTGTTTGGAAGTTTTATCCACTTGTCGTCACCGCAAAACGGAGCGAGGAGAAAGTTAGTATTTACTAGTTAAAAGGGAGGTCTCACCGCGTATGCTGTCCGATTTTGGGCAAAACTGGTGTCAATCGATCACAAAATTAATTAGTACAGTCATATTGGTTATAACCTTTCTGCCCAAAAAGTCCTGTTTCGATAGGAATCGAGCGTGCACGCGCTCTTCCCAACTTTTGCACGAAATTTTAAACTTTGTCCTAGAGATGCGAAATTTGGCATGCACATGCACCAACATATGCTACATCATAATATAACATCAATTCCCGTTCCGTTCGCTATAAATTTTTCAGGAAAAATCAAAAACCAAATTGAATACGAGTGACATTTGGTTTTTGATTTTTCCTGAAAAATTTATAGCGAATGGAACGGGAATTGATGTTATATTATGATGTAGCATATGTTGGTGCATGTGCATGCCAAATTTCGCATCTCTAGGACAAAGTTTAAAATTTCGTGCAAAAGTTGGGAAGAGCGCGTGCACGCTCGATTCCTATCGAAACAGGACTTTTTGGGCAGAAAGGTTATAACCAATATGACTGTAAGAAACTTTCAAATGACACTATTTTCCAATCGTCACATTTTGCAGAGATATTTGAATCCCTAGATGGGAAAACGTGCAGTAAAATGGGAAATTGTAAAATTTATGAACATTATGGGGCGCTTCTCCTCTTCGGATGCAAATATCTCTGCCAAACGTGCCCATTGGGAGATCGTGTCTTTTGCAAATCTCATAGTAATTAAATTTCTGATCGATTGACACTAGTTTGCTAAAAATCTGAGAGCATACGTTGGGAGACCTCCATTCGTAGTTTGTATCTTCACCAAGTATTTATGAACAATGTTAATAGTGGTGGTGAGGATGTGCCCTCACGCGAGTATAATTACATAATAGTCTCCAAGTGTAAATAAACAGCTAAAGAGAAAGCCGTTCTTGAAGAAGAAGAAGACCGTTAATTTACTAGATTCAAGTTTCCTACTACTTGTCCTAAATCCGTCAATCTTCTCCTTTTCTAATTAATTTCGCACCCAATCTTTCTCCCCGCGAGAGATCTGTCTTCCTCCCGTTACACATCTGACACTTGTTCTTTTTGTTCCGCGAGAGATTCGTCACCGTGATGTGACGGGTTAAATGTCGGGAGGACGACGACCGCTACGACGAGAGTGAAAGTCCGTGCTACACAGATTTCCCTTTCTGTTACACGGCTCTTCTGAATGAGAAATTGTGTCAAACTCGGGGGTTCTATTTGTTCTAATTGTTCGTGGAGAATTTCCTTCAGAAATCGGGTGTCGTTTCCCGAAAATGGAATGCAGAACCCTTCCCGTTTTTCAGCGTGGGTTTGGTGAGAGAAAGGAGCATATGAGCATTCATTCAAAATGATGCCGATGCCTCGCTCTCTGGGTGTTGGTGCATCAGAGTGAAAAGCAGACTTTTTCGCCTTTCAGCTCCAGCTGTGGCACACACTCTCACACCCGGTTTTTGGCAGTTACAAAGTGATACGGCTGTAATGCAGTTGGAGAGAGAGAGTCACGAGTATAATTGTATTTACTGGCGTCAACTCGAGTGGGTGGGTGGGTGAATTATACATCAAATGAAAACTTTTTTTTGCTTCTTGGCGAGAAAGAAAAATGATGGACTGCTGGGCTTGCTTTCTCCAAAAGAAAATCTTGAAGATGTGGAAAAATTGGGTTATTTTTTATTCAATAATTGAAATAATACGAAGGTACTGAAAGTAAACTTTTAAGAGGCGGCCGGGTAATGATCTGATATAACGAACCGCGATAAGGTTATGGCTCCCATTACAATTAGTACGGCGACGACTTGTAAAATGTTTCACAGGGTTTTTATTAGTGGAAGAGAAGTAGAAGTAAGAAATAACAACAAAGAGGAACTGCATCTCACTGCAGGTCTGAGTTTTAGGTGCATTGAGCATGCCATTGTTTATCCCTGCCACTTACTTTCTCTCCCCACCATTACGACCAATTCAGGCGACCCTCGCTCTCTCGCAGCGAGTTTTTCTCCTATTCTTTTTTGACTATTGGGATGAGAGGAGAGGACGTGAAAAGGTTGCCCTCGGTGTAGTCTCTCTCTCGCCTTAAAATGATTAACTTTTCTCGGAGGAAATTACGAGAGAAAGCAAACGCGGTGGGGGGTTGAGTGGTCCAAAACTGCGCTCTCCACCGCCACATCATGATCACGGTGCTTGGTGAGGAAGAAAGTATCCCTCATTTTCACCCAAGGAACGACCTGTCTCCTCTCCTGCCCGGTGCGAGATGGGGGAAGAATCGGAAATTTATATTTATTGAAGTGTTGAGAGAATACATTAGATAAATATGGTCTCTCTCTTCCTTAATAGTGGGCTGGGCTGGATGGATAAGGCAGGTGGTGAGTCAGTGTACGATTTTAGGAGAATTTAGAAGAAAATGGTACATGGCCTTGAAAAATGGAGGCGTGATAAAATTTCTAAAACTGTTGTAGACTTGAACGTTGAAGAAAGTAGCTGCTGATATAAGTAATTAATATCAAAATGCTTGATTTGGGTTAAAATTATGGTGCTTTGTTCAACGATGATAATGTAACGATATAATCGTAATAACGATAAGAAAATGTTTTTGATTTAGGAAATTTTTGCGGGCAATTAAAAAAAAAATTTGGGGATTTTATAAGTACACAAATTTTGAAAATGGTTGAAAGTTGTGGACCTGAAAAAAAATGTCAAGGATATACGAAACGTTCTTATGAAACGTCTATCTAACGATATAAAATATATCAAATTTATGTCAAACTCATAAATTTGGCTTCAAACTTGACCAAATATTACTCTATAATTTTAATAATTTTAATAATTTGTGGTAAAAATTTGTCGGTGAAATATCCATACCAAATGTTGCAATTTTTGAGGCACTACAGACGAATTTTGAAAATTGTCGAAAATTGCGTATATAACAAAATGTACAAATATCTAGTGGCATAGAAGATATCAAATTTATCTAAAAATCATTAATTTATCTTCAAACTTTCACTTTAACTTAATAATCTTCTCAGTTAGTTTTTGGTAAAAAAAAGGTGCCAATACATTCAGAAGAAGATGAACCACCTTCACCTTCTTCATCTCTTCCAACGAATGTCACCTCCGTCTCATTTTGTGTCTTTCTTTTTATTTCCAGACACAATGGCCACCTCAACTTTGGACGAGGATTTTACTTTCACTCCGCCAAAAAGTCATCATCACCACCACCAGCACCATCGCACCCATAATATTCATCACAACCACCACAACACCCCTCGTCAGCACTACCACTCCCATCATCACCGACCATCCGCCGCCACCACCAACAACAACGTGAACAATGGGAACGACAACGACGGTGGAGTAGTTGATGGGAGAAGGCGTGATTCCCAGAATGATGACGAGACTTCTTCTCACTTCCATTACCATCAGCAGCAGCAGCAGCAGAAACATCATCATCACCCAGAAGCAAATGGCAAAGAAGTGCAGGAGGACGAAATAATGGAAATGCCACATCAAAATTCGGATTCTGACGAGAAGGAACAACTCCATCAAGAAGATAGTCCACATTACGGGCGATACAGCAACACAAATAAATACAATCATGATCATGGTAAGATTTACTTTACGAGTTTAGATTCAATCTCACATCCGAATGGGGACACTCTAATAAATCCGGGGACAAATATAGAGGTTGTTACCATTTCGGTGGTAGTATGCTTCCGTTTGGTGATGCAGCTAGTAGTGGGTGTTCCCACGTGGTGATTCCGCTGTAACCGAATGGTGACATATCCAACCTTCTCTTGGAAACTGCCGCCCGGTCGGTGATAATCCCGATGGTCAAATTTCTTAGAGTGCGTCATCTTCTCCTTCTACGACGAATCTTTACGGTTTGTCTCCCCGCATAAAAATTCCCATCGAAATAAATTGAATGATGCAAGCAAACTTTTATTTCGCTCATTGTTTTCTTCCCACTTTCCCCATGTACTTGAGAATTGTTAGTGTCATTTCGGCCGAGAAAATGACTCGCATTAAATTACAAATGGGAAAATAAAATATTGCTCCGCTTCGCTTCTCTTTCTTCGGGAACAAAGTTTGTTCACCAAACCAGCAGGATCGCAGCTAAAGACTAAAACCGCCATAAAATTTATGGAATGCGGGGTGCAACATGGTTAAATAAAATTCCCATGAGCCGAACTTGTACATACACGGTTTAATAATGCATAAACACGGACTGACTCATCGTCGCTGGTGAAATTTTAATCCGTTATGTCACCGTTTGACGGAGTGACGACTTTTGACAGTTTTTGTGCGACAAAGTGGGGACAATTTTGTACGTACGTATGTACATTTTGAATATGAAATGCACTCCAATTTAGGAAATGCATGCATGGCTGGCTGGTTGGCTGGCTTTCACGGGTTGGAAATCAAAGGGAAAAGGATGCCGTAACCCTGTTGCATTTATCGTAACCCTGACTTTGTCGGGTTTTATTTTCCCTGTTTTCCCCATCATCATCATCGCATGGCCGTGATCATGTTGTGTAATGGTAATAGTAAATAATGGAATGGAGGGAGGTATTTGTGTGTGGAGTGGAAGTGTGCGTACGGGTGCGTGAAATGCCGGATTGGATTGGAAATAACCGAGTTAGGCAAAACAACCGTGGGGCTCAAAGATTCAAAAGAAAGTCATTTCGAATAGTTGGTCTGATGGAAAAGAGGGACACACACAATTCGGCGGGGTGTGTTATTCATTTCATACGTGGTAAATAAGTTCAGAGTGTAATAAGAAGTGGGGAAGGGTTGTTTCTGGGGGAAATGTATAGTGTTTGTGGGTCTATTAATGCGGGCGTTTTTGATGCCAAGAAAGATACCATACAAAAATTACAACCAGGGTTTGCTACATTTCTTGCGCTACAAAACAAGAAACGGAAGAAATGCGAGGTGCAAGAAAGTGGGAGAAAGTGCAAGAAATATGCGCTATCTAGCCATGTGCCGTACGAAGTATAGAAGTTTCTTGCGCCGTGCATTTCTTGCAAGTCAAAATACCCGCAAGAAACCACTTTCTTCCCGTTATTTCTTGCACGTGGTTACTCGCCCCCGAAACACTTCTTACAACGAACCCGTCTCCAATTCAAAATTTGGTTTTGAATTTCACAATTTAGACTTGGAGACAGTTTGACGAATCTTGATGCTGGTGAAATGTCACGACTCTCTCTCTCTCGAGTTAAGTTGGTGGGGTAGTAAGTATGCAAAATGAGACTGTCAACATTCTGCACACAGCTGGATGTCTAGGGAAAACCCCTCACTTCATTTTAATGGATCTCTCTCTCTCTCGCTTGATGCATTCTTTTCCGTGGGCTGCAGGGTTTCAGAAAACACGGGCCTACTTTCTCCCTCATAAGACGGGCATGATTGTGCTCACACCCTGCACGAGAACAAGCCTGCTAACTAATCTCCCCGTTGGAAACAAAGTTACAAGTTGCGCGCTTCATCTGTTCCATAACCAAGTTCTTGAAAAGTGAAGGCGTCGTGTTGATGTTGGTTTTTTTCTGGTTTCGCTTTATATTGAAGTCATCACTCAATGCCGTCTGTGACAAAGTGTGGAAGGGAAACATTAACATTGAGACGACAGAACGTCCTCCTCCTCAAGCCAAACTAACCACCCTTTCCATCCGTGGAGGAGGAAAATCTTCATCTTCTTCTCGTCGCGGCACGAATAAATGAGCATTTTGCATTCTTTCACAATCCTGAGTTATCTTTGTCTTGTTGTTTTTTCGTTGAGAACCAGAAGTCAGCTTATAATGGAGGTGTCCCAGCGTATGCTGTCCGATTTTGAGTAAACTATTGTTAATCGATCACAAATTTAATTGATATCGAAGTTTCAGAAGACGCGATCTCCCAGTGGTCATGTTTCTGGGAGATATTGGCAAATATTTTGCAAATATTTGCAAAAGGGTATATATCCAAAAAGGAGAAACCGACCAATTTTACACTTTCCAAATTTACTGCGCGTTTTTTTCCTCTTCGGATGCAATTGATGCAAATATCTCTGTCAAATTTGCGCATTGGGAGATCGTTTCATTTGCAAATTTCATACTAATTAAATTTGTGATCGAATGACACTAGTTTTACCAAAATCAGAGCGCATTCGTTGGGAGACCTCCATGCTTAGTGAGACTATTCATTTGATGGTCTGGTCTCGTGTGGTCTGTAAATATGTATGTAACCCCATCTGGAAAATGCATTTTTATGACTGAGTAAACTTATCTTTTCGGGTTATCATCGTCCCATTCCTTACGACCCAAACGATGTCACGAGCAGACCAAACCACAAAACAAAGATGAATGATACAGTCATCCTACGACTTGTTAGAGTCGTACATAGGACGACTTTTTTCCAGGGAAGGGAGACGCTAGCCGGCATGCCTGTCATATTTTAAGGAGGAGATAAAAAGGATTGAGATCACAATAAAAACCTGCCGTAAAAGATTTTCCTTTGACGCTTTGATCCCAGCTGCAACAAAGTCAAGGAAACTTTGACTGGTGGAGGAATTTTAAATTTCGAATTCATTCCTGACGTGTTGCACTACGGAATGTGTAGTGCACTCCATTATGCCAAGTAGGCTGAGTGACTGCACGGAGGGGAAAGTTAGTTTTATGAATAGATAAATGTTGGGGTGGTTTGTATAGTTGACTTATTTCGACGTGGAGCTTTCGAATCTCATTGTTTTCCTGGTAAAATTGATTCTCCGCCGTGACGAAAGAGCGGCCAACAAAGGAGGAGGAAAAGTATCGTAACGTTTTAAGTCCTCCTTTCACCGAGGATCGAGTTCTTGCCTGCTTTCTCCTCATAACCATTTGTCATCAGGAGAGAGAGAGAGCTCAGATGTTTGGCTTACTCGTTATTACCCTAATTTTGACGGGAGAGAGAGAGAGAGATCCCGCATTCAAATAATGACGGGTATGACTTATTAAGCAGGAAATAATGAGCTGCCTGCTTAACAGATAGACGTGGACGTGTATACGCAGTTATGAATATGTTCCCTTTGGGAATTTCAAAGTTCAATAGTACTCATTATATTAGGGATTTGATGCTCAATAATGGAATAATTAGTTCCCACTGGAAACTTTGAAGGATGGGGTTTATATGGGAATGAAAGGATGGAAGTTCTGGGGTGAAAGTTGTCATCAGTTTATTATTTGCTACGTGCGTATGTACTTAGGTGGCATTAAAACTAGACTAGACAATAGTCGTGTCGCCTTTATGTAGTTGTATCGGTTGTTTTGAACATAATGCTGTATTTTCACGGTATAATAACGTGTAATTATAGTCAGACAAAAGTTGTAATGAGTGGAGCGTAATTTAGGCTGGATAAAATTTAAAATTCAGACACGAGCAGGAGACAGGTTTCGTGTACGTAATGAATTTCCAATGAAATAAATTATGTATGTATGTACATAACAAAGTAAAGTTTAATTCCAGCTTATGCAAATTAGAGAAAATTGTGGTGCTAGTAGTTTTCGACATTTAATTTTTTTGGGGTAGAAATTATGAAACTTCTTAAATTCTTAGTTAATTAACATTCTGTAAACCTCCGTTTGTAATCAGAACCTTGGTTAAATCATGCATAAATAATTTTGCAATTATAAAAATGTTCAATTTCTTAAAATTCTAATTTTAAATTTTTGAGGATACAAATTTTTATGAAACATGTCCCCATTTAAATTCTTAGTCAATTAACATTCTGCAAACCTCTCCATTTGTAATTAGAACCTTGGTTAAATTACGCATAAATAATTTTACAATTATAAAAAAGTACATGTCAACAATTCCTTAAAATTCTGAGCTCCTCCCCAAAGCACTAAAACCTCAGCAAAGACATTCTTCAAAATTCCAAATAATTCGCACCGCTGCCATAAAAATAATTTGAAAATGAGTCCGAATTCCCGACGGGACACGTAAAAAGTAATAAAGCATCGCATCCCTCGACCGAAAACGGGACTGTGCGTGCAACTGCATCCAACTGGTGTGCATACGGACGTGAGTTTATCTTTTGGAAATTCTTTCCACTAAGCAGCATGGAGCGATGAGGTCTTTAACGAGGAGGAATTTCTAATTAGCAACAAAACGAATGTTGCAACGCCTGTCGGTTTAGCTGAAGCAATTTTAACACCAAGAAGGAGAGGGAAGAGTGAAACGAAATCCTTATGGTCGTCGTGCTGATGATGATAGTTTAGGATTCCAAAGTCTGAATGATATCCGAAACTGTTAAGATTACGCTAACTGGCGCATCCTTCCTTCCTTATGGCTCTTCTTCTTTTTGTAATAAATTCTTCGCCAGTGTTTTAAGTGCAAGGAACCACTTGCAAGAAATAATGGGAAGAAAGTGGTTTCTTGCAGGGATTTTGACCTGCACGAAATGGGAAGAAACTACTTTCCGCCGTTATATTTCATACGGTACGTAGCATATGTCTTGCAGTTTCTTGCACCTCGCATTTCTTGCATTTCTGGCTGTACAGTGCAAGAAATGTACACTATTAAAAATCTAGTAGAGTCACATACTTATCTACTCCGTACTGGTATTGATTTGGTAATAACTTCCTACCGGCTTGG